GGGCGGGCGGCTGGCAGTGGGGGCGCCGGGTAGCCGCGGAAAAGCTGAGGGCTGGGCCTACGGGTCCGGCCTGCCGCGCCCGGCGTCGCCACGCCTCCGTTACCCGGCGGCTCTGAAGTGCTGTGGGTGGCTTTTTGGCCCTAACCGCCACCCCACACTCCGTCCTTGAGCGTGTCTGGGAGGAAGCTCCGGGGCGCTCCCTCCCCTCTCCGTTCCCGAGGATTCTCCCAGCCTCTTTGTGTCGTCTGCCTTTCCTTCTGTCTTCTGATCTCTCCCTACCGGAACCCAAAGTCCTCAGGGTCCAGATTCACCAAAAGTGAATTTTTGATCATCTTTAAGTGGGACTGCCCTTTGATTAGCTAATAGAAGCGACACTGTATTCTTTCAGCCAGTTGTGTGCCAGACACGGTTCCATGTGCTGGGAATACAGCATTGAACAACCCAGACAGAAAATTCCTGACTCATGGAATTTATATTCTGGTGAGGGGAAACAGGCAATATAAACAAATGACGTATGTATAGTACGTTAGTGTGAAGTGTTATGGAGAAAAGAAGTGTTCGGGGTAGGTAGGATTGTTATTTTAAAGTAGGATGGTCAAGAGATGAGAAATTTGAGCAGAGACCCAAAGGTGATGAAGGAGCGAACCATTCAGATATTTGAGAAAGCATTCCAGGCAAAGAGAACAGCAAGTGCACACCTTCAGGGGGAAGCACACCTTCAGGGGGAAACACGCCTAGTGTGTTCCGGGAAAACGAGGGGACCAGTGTGGGTGGAGTGGACTAAGTGAGGAAGAGCCTAGGTGCAAAGATCAAGTTAGAATGATGGGGAGGAAGGGCAGATGTGAGTTGTAGGCCATCTTATGGACTTGGCTTTGACTCTTAGGTAAGCCTCTGGAGTTTCAACAGAAAAGTGACATTCTAATTTTAAAGGAATTTAAGTTTATTAGTTAAATTTTAGGAAAATCATTTTGGCTGCTATGTCAAAAGAATAGAAGTTGGGCCTGGGACAAGGGTGGAAGCGGGCAGAGTAGATAGGAGGCTGTTAGAATTTCACTGAGAGATGGTATTGGCTTGGACCAAGGTTATGGTAGCAGAGATGGTGAGAACTGGCCCATTGTGAAGATAAAGCCAATGGGATTTCCCAATGGATTGGGTGTGAAATGTGAGAGTAGAAGGAAAACACCAGTCTTTTTAGCCTGAGTAGCTGGAAGAATGGATTGACTCCAGGGAAGATCAGGGTTTTGTTGTTGTTTGTTTTTGTTTAGTTTTATTTTGATGGGAAGTAGTGGGAATTCATAGAGATTGGAGTTTGGTTTTGGATATGCTAGATTTGAGGTGCCTCTTAGACATCCACGTGGAGATGGTGAACTGGATATATAAGTCTTGAGTTTAAGAAAAAAGTCCAGGCTGGAGATATAAATTTGGGAGCTGTCAGTGTAAAGATGGTATTTAAAGCTAGGAGACTTTAGGAGCTAGGAGATGGAGTTGCCATCTCCCAGGGAGTGTAGATACAGGAGAGAAGAGGTCCAAGGACCCAGCTTGGATTCTCCAGTGTTTAGAAGTTGAGGAAGAAGAACTGCAAAGGAAACTGAGAAGGAGCAGCCAGATAAATGGAAGGAAGCCAAGTGTTTTATGCAGAAGAGAGTAATCAGCTAAGTGAAATGTTGCAGGTATGTCAAGTAAGTTAAGACTTGAGAATTTAGTAGCATTGATAATACGAACAGTTTTAGTGAAATGGTGGGGGTGATAAACCTAAATGGAGTGGGTTCAGAGATAGCCAGTATAGACAACTCTTGAGAGTTTTGCTGGAAAGGGGGCTGGTAACTGAAGAGGGAAGTGAGGTGAAGGAAATTTTTTAAGGTGGGAGAAATGACGTTATGTTCATATGCTGATGAGAACTGTCAAGTCATGAGGGGAAAATTGATGTAAGAACAGAAGAGAGAATTGCTGGAACAATTTTCTTGAGTAGGTGGGAGGGGATGGGATCTAGTGCAGTGTGGAGGGATGGGGGGGTACATTTCATTTGGAGCACAGACAGTTCATCCATAGTAATAGGGAAGGTGGAATATATGGGCACTAATGTAGGCAGATAGGTAGATATGGTGTGGAAGTTATCTGCTGATTGCCTTTATTTTTTTCAGTGAAAGAGAAGCAAGGTTATCAGATTAGGAGAGTGATGGACTAGGGAAATCTGAGTTCCAGGCAGCTCACTTGAAGTTCATGAAATTAAAATAAGACTAGTCAGCATGGCCATGTTTTTTTTCAGCTGTGTGGGTTCAGGGGTGGTTGACAGAAGGTTGGATTTAGTCAGAATTGGTGTTTTGCTGCATGGTTATGTTAGAAGGCTACAGGGCAAAAGAGTGGTTGTGATGACTGACCGTGGAATCTAACCTGGGTAAAGTGGAAAATTAGTATATGAGTGGGTGAGTTAAAGGTCTTTTTGGGGTAAAAATAGTTTTTAGAGTCAAGATATTAAAAATAGTGAGAAGGAAAGAGAGGAGGTGCTTAGAGATTTGGATGCTTGATGTTAAAACTCTGGAGATGTTGAAGTTGTTGGTAATGTTCAGATCTAGTGTTTGACCATGGGAATGAGTGGCTGAGGTAGGGTGGAGGTTTGAGTCGGGGAGAGATGGGTCAGGAAAGAGGATTAACTTCTGTAGGAATAGGAATTTGGGGGATGAGGGAAGACCTGGGGATGGTAGTCCTGGACTTGGTGTGGTGTCTAATGTAGGTAAGGAAAAAGGTCATAACAACATTATTCTGGATAGTCTCAAGGCGGATTGGTAGTGGTGAGGCTATGATTATCAGGGAGATTGAAGTTTTGTGGGGTCTTTCCAGATGCATGCCAATTTTGGGATCCCTCTCATCATTTTAGTTATTTGGGATATGTGGGTATAGTAAAGGGCAGGAGAACATTTTACCTGGTGTTCTGGGCTCACTCTTCATTTCTGCTAATGAAGTGTGGAGGTTGGTGTTGGAGCCATCTTATCCAGAGTACACAGACTTCTGAGGCTCCCTCTTCATGCCCGCTGATGGAGCTGTGGAAGCCAGGATTAGCGGGGTGGAGAGGGGTTGTACTTACTATTTGCACATTGTTAGAGACTATTTGCACTTTGTTAGAGTTTATTCACTGCTGCCTGTCAATAGTTTTTCCCAAATATTTCAGCATTTCTGTCATAACATGACTCAGTGAAGTCATCCAAATATTCAAAGACTTCAGTTGTATTTTCTTTCCCATTAAACTGTTGTTTCTGGAGCTCTCCATCATCCTTCCCCAGTCAGTGCTGGTTACCATCTTGTTTGGCTGCATAGCTCTTGTCCTTTTACTGTCATTGTGGGTATTCTCTTCACATGGTTGTATACCCTGTTTCCTGGATGCCGTATGATTCTCTCTCTCCTTTTTTCTTTCACTTCCTTTATTTGCTGCAGTGTATCATTTTCCGGTAGCTTCCTAAGAAAATGTGCATGGAAAATACATTTTATGAGATCTTGCTTGTTTGGAAATCTTTCTGTTCTAGTTTCACATTTGAATAATAGTTTGGCTCGGTATAAAATTCTGGGTTGGAAATAATTTTCCATAGGATTATGGGGGCCACTACCCCTTGGCCTGTTGTTCTTGAATCTAAAGCCTCAAGAGCTCCTTCCAGAAGAATGGTAATCACAGAAATGGAGAAGGATGCTCTGGGTGTCTAAGGGATCTGTATACTGACTTATTACTAATTGTTAAAGTCTTGTGTCTTATCCTGCCTGTCTAATTACTGAGGGCAAATCGGATTGCTTCTTGTAGGAGTCCTCCTCTGTAGACCCTCAGAGGAGGCCCCTCAACCATGTCAGTTAATCACTCCGCCAATAGCTAACACTTTTGAAAAATTGGTTGAGTTGTTCATCCACTATTGTCTTCTCTCCCATTCTCTTTGTGCTTGCTTCCTTCTTTCTTATTTCTTCACTTGCATTTGAATGGAATTTGAGGAGGAAGAGATAATAGATGTATGTTATCAATCTACCTTCTTTAAAGAGAAATTAGGAAGCTTGTTTCAGTCATTAATAATTTTAGCCTAGAAAGTAGAAAGTAGGATTTTTTATACCATTGACTTTATCTTTTTATAATTATGGAGTGCCTTGCATCCTTTTTTTCCACTGTTTATAATATTAAACTTGACAAGTTTCCATTATTGATGAGACTGGCTTAGGACAAAATTATACATTGTAGGTGTCATTGTCATCAGTTAAATGAGATTTACACATACTATTACCTAGATAACATTCTTGTAGAATGTAAAACTCTTCAGTTAGTACCATTTCTCTTTTGGCATATGTATCCCAAAGGAGGAAAAAGTAAACTTGTACAAAGATTTTCATGGAATTACTTATAATAATGAAAAAACAAAAGAAAGAAAAGAAGTAGCCCAAATATTTTATAGCAGCATAGAAGGAAAATGATTAAGCACTTCCAGCTATGTGATGGAACACAGTTTAGTCTTTATTTATTTTTTATTATTTTTTTGCTGAGGAAGATTCACCCTGAGCTAACATCCACTACCAATCTTCCTCTTTTTGTATGTGAGCCGCCACCATAGCATGGCCACTGACAGGCGAGTGGTGTAGGTCCGTGCCCGGGAACTGAACCCAGGCCACTGAAACGGAGTGCGCTGAACTTAACCACTAGGCCACTGGGGCTGGCCCACAATTTAGCCCTAAAATGTTCAAATAAATAAATAAATACTTATTCATTTATTTATATAGTGTTAAGTAGGAAAAAAAGGGCAAAATGCCAAGTAGATAAACTCTGATACTAGTCAAAATCATTGACAAAGTTCAGAGTTGATTCTGAAGTTGAAGGTTATTTTAGGTTATTTTTTCTATAAATATTTAGTTTATTTAAAAATCATTTTATAAAAAATCTTATTATAAAAGTAATATGTTTGTTGTAAAGTAAAAAGTAATACTGACCCCAAAACACAGCAACTGTAAACCCAGTACAAAATTGTGAAAAATTAAAATTCCCCAAACTTTTCCCCAGTTCATTCCTTAGAGGTTGTCACTTTACAATTTGCTATGAATTATTTTGTTATTTATTTTTAAACCAGATACCTCACTGACTGTATGACACTGATAATAAAGACTGTGTTAAAGCAAAAGATGAATACCATATTGTATTTTGGTAAATTCTTTGACTAGAAAGACGAGAACTATTTTAGGAATGAAACTGTTATAAACATGACATTGATTTTTTTTTTAAACCAAGCCAGATGGGACCATATATAGACTCAGAATAAAGAAAAATGTACTTGATTATGTATTAATTGATGTAGAATGGATATTAAATTCTTCAAACACTTAGTTTAATTGACACAGAGGAAGAATATGAGGATAGTTCTTTTCAATACAAAGCACTCAGGTTTTGTATTTTAATTTAGAAATAATTCCTGAGAGTCAACCAAATTGGAAAGCTATCATTTAAGGTCCTGCAGAAGTCTTGGCAAAACACATCTGACTTATGGGGTATATGCTAATTCCTTATACTAAACTATTTTAAAATTTTTTCTTAAGGCTTCCAGACAAGCTGCAGGAATTCCAGGGATTACTCCAACTGAAGAAAAGTGAGTAGTTATTTTTTTGGAATCAAGTAGAGTCAACTCTTAATTTTTGATATCAAAACTAAACCATATTTTTAGGTTACTCAGCTTATTTAATTCCTTTGTTTACTCTAAACTTTAATCTCTGGGCATACAATCTAAACTTTGTGAAGAACAGAAAGGAGGGTTGTATAAATCAAAACCTTTGATTGCTTTCACTTCCCCTAGCCAGAGAAAGTTGAAAGTAGAAAGACAGAGTTAAGATAGAAGAAAAGAAGAAAAAAATTGCCATAGGTGATCTGATGATTTAAATCAGCCTATGATGATCTATGTCTGTTGCTATCTCAGAATGAGGTGCTGCAAAAATTGGATAGTTTTCCAGTGTCTAAGTCAGATGTTCCTGTGTAGCTTTCTTATTTGGTTTGAAGTGTTATGAATTCTCAAAATATCAGACAATCCATATCTAAATATAACTACAGAAAGTGAGAAGTCAAATGTAATTGAGTTTTGGATTTTCCAGTAATTTGAATTTCATGTACCTTTGCTCTCATCTGTTGACACAGTTAATTCAGAATCAACTATTGTTTTTCTGATTTTTCCAAATTAAATTGATTATTTTGTCAAATGTTGCTCTTTCCTCAGAGATGGTAATCTTCCAGATATTGTGAACAGTGGAAGTTTGCACGAGTTCCTGGTTAACTTGCATGAGAGATATGGGCCTGTGGTCTCTTTCTGGTTTGGCAGGCGCCTTGTGGTTAGTTTGGGCACTGTTGATGTACTGAAGCAGCATATCAACCCTAATAAGACATGTAAGTTTAATTTCCTTTCTAATTAGCTGATCCTTATCTTTTAAGAATAGAAGTCTATAGATGAAGACCCATGCATTGTTCTTGGGTAGGAATACCTAACATGTATTGAATGCCTTCTACTCTGTGCTTGGCATTGTATTGAAGTCTTTATATTTATTACCTCATTTAAGACACAGTATTGTAAAATGGTTATTTTTTCCTTCAGTTTATAGATATATACAATAAAATCCCAGTGTAAATTCCAGCAAGATTTTTTTGGGAACCTGAAAAAATAGTTCCAGGGTATATCTGGAAGAATAAAGGTAGAAGAGTAGCCAAGAAACATCTAGAAAAGAACATTAATAAGGGGAAGATTTATACCATCAGATAGAACAGTGTATTATAAAGCTAGATTAATTTAAAGAATCTTGTACTTTGACATGACTAGACAGATTGATGGAATAGAGTGGGTAGTCCAGTGGACAAACCAAGTAAAAATGATAAAGAGCATTTTGTAATAAAGGGGAAAGATAATAAATGGTTTTGGGAAAACTGGTTAGCTATTTGGAAAAAATAAATCTTAATCCCTTGCTTACTCTTTATATCAAAGTAAATTCCAAATGATTAAAATTTGGAGTCATAAAAATAGTAGAAGAAAATATGGTTACATACTAAATTTTTTGAGGGGGTTTTGAGAAACCCTTTCTTACTGTGACATGAGATCTAGGAGCCATTAAGCACAAGATGAGTAAATCTGTCTACATAAAAATGAAAAATTTCAGTACACTAAAAAACACCTTGAAAAAGAGAGAGATGGGAAAATGTTGGCCATATATTACTACTCATAATGTGAGTAGTTGATTACTGGATTTCTGTAAAATAAAAAGGTACCACGAAAACGTTTAGAAGAGAAATGGGGAATTTACCACCCATATATATAAAGTAAATAAAAACTAATAATTAAATAAAAGTAAAACACAATTGCAGAAACAAGGTAATTAAGAAAGAAGAAATACAAATGGCCAATAAGCAAATGAAAAGATTTCAACCTCACTAATAATCTGTGGGATGCAAATAAAAATGAGATTTTTACCTATTTGACTAGAGATGAAAAATATCAGCAAAATTCATTGTTGATGAGGGAATGGAGAAACATGGAATGTAAAGGTTTTACAAACTGTGGAGAGAAAGTTGGCAGTGACTTTTGACTTACCAATAATATCTTAAGGAATTTATCATAAATTGATAATCACATATGAGAAAAGACATATTAGTATTATTTATAATAAAAATTTGAAGCAAACTTAAATATCTATCAATGGCTGAATAAAAGAATACATTCAGGCCTTAGTATAGTGATAGAGACAATTTATTTTGTTTATCAAATACTTCTTTAGCAATTACTATATGTCAGCACTATTGTAAGCCTTTTACAAATATTAACTCATTTAATCCTCAAAACAACAATATGAAGTAGGTATTACGATTATCCCCATTTTACAGAAGAGAAAACTGAGATACAGAGAGGTTGTCGTTTGCCCAAGGTCACACAACCAGTTAGTGATGGAGCTAGGGCTTGAAGCTGGGCAGCCTGGTCTGAGTTCCTGCTCTTAATCGCTGAGCTTTCCACAACATGGAAGCATGGCTCTGTCAGGAAATACAATGATGAGTGAAACCAGAGTTGGTCTCCGCTCCTATGGAGTTTATAGTCTAGTATTGGGGAGTGGGGCAAGCATGTAAACAGTGTTCAGAGGATCACACCAATGAACTGAGAGAAGTGCTCTGAAAGAAAAGACTGTAGTTTTTTGTGAAATCTGACAGATTTTTGTCTGTCTCTCTCTGTTAAGAAATGTTAACAGCTGCTAAAAAATCTCTAAAATGTTTAACTGTGAGTATCTCTGTGGTGAGATTTAGATGAATTTTATTTTCTTTGTATTTTACTGTGTTGTTTTGTCTACAATAAAAATGTATTCTTTTGTGTGAAAACAAGATAGTCATTAAAGAAACACTTAAAAAATGAATGAAGAAAAGAAATTTTTGAACTCAGCTAAATAATTTTAATTGTAATACTTGACAGTTATGCACAAACATCAATTTTGTTTTAAAATCAGTGGAATGAGATTTTTTAAAAATCAAAGATATTGTTGTCATATAGGTAGAAAATTTATGTAAGTAATAATGATTTATGGTGGAATTCCCAGTCAGGATATTGTGTTCTTGCCAATTTTTATTGCCTCTTGAACTGATCATATTTAGGAAAGGCAGTTAAGGGAGTTGTGAAAAGAAGTTGCCATGCTCTCAGCTACAATCTCATACCTCCCTGATATCTTTGTTCTTTTGCTGGAGATTTCTTTTTTTTTTGAGTAATTGCTTTGATTTGGAAATGTTTAATTTGTCTGTTTCAGCGGACCCTTTTGAAACCATGCTAAAGTCGTTATTAAGATATCAATCTGGTGGTGGGAATGTGAGTGAAAACCACATGAGGAAAAAATTGTATGAAAATGGTGTGACTAATTCTCTGCAGAGTAATTTTGCTCTCCTGCTAAAGGTAAGGTGATAAGTAGTTTGGTCTGGAGTTCCATAATACAGATAGTAGTATATTTTTTGACTATTGGTGTGTCTTGTCTTTGCTACTCTTTTCTTACCTGTCTTTCTAAACTGATTTTTATTCTGCTGAAATTCTAAAACATTCTAAATTCTAAATTCTAAAAAAAATCAAAACAAAACAAAGATCTTAACACCTTGACTCCCTATGTAAGTCAGAACGATGGGAGTGGAGAGAACCTGAAAAAATTTCTTTCTTCTTTTTTTTTTTTTGTGAGGGAGATCAGCCCTGAGCTAACATCCATGCCGATCCTCCTCTTTTTGCTGAGGAAGACCAGCCCTGAGCTAACATCTATTGCCAATCCTCCTCGTTTTTTTCCCCCAAAGCGCCAGTAGATAGCTGTGTGTCATAGCTGCACATCCTGCTAGTTGCTGTATGTGGGACGTGGCCTCAGCATGGCCAGAGAAGCGGCGCGTCGGTGCGAGCCTGGGATCTGAACCCGGGCCGCCAGCAGCAGAGCGCGCGCACTTAACCGCTAAGCCACGGGGCCGGCCCTGAAAAAATTTCTCTATCGATAGATTTGTTCTTTGTTTTCAGGCCAGACTCTAAACCAGTGTTTCTTAAAACATGGTCTGAGCTCACCTGAAACACTCCCTCACTAAAGATGCAGATTACTGGGGCTGTACTTGGACGAACTGAATCACTAGGAGGGGGACCTGATGTTTTTGAGACACTCCACAAGTGACTTACAAAGTTTGAGAACAGTACGAATCCATCCACTTGCTTTTTTTTTTTTTTTGTGAGGAAGATCAGCCCTGAGCTAACATCCATGGCAATCCTCCTCTTTTTGCTGAGGAAGACCAGCCCTGAGCTAACATCTATTGCCAATCCTCCTCCTTTTTTTCCCTTTTTCTCCCCAAAGCCCCAGTAGATAGTTGTATGTCATAGCTGCACATCCTTCTAGTAGCTGTATGTGGGACGTGGCCTCAGCATGGCCGGACAAGCGGTGCATTGGTGTGCGCCCGGGATCCGAACCCGGGCTGCCAGTAGTGGAGCGCGTGCACTTAACCGCTAAGCCACAGGCTGGCCCCCATCCACTTGCTTTTTGTCCCTGAAGCTCCTTAGGTGAGCCCAGTGTGCTGTGTGACAGTTCTCTGTCCCCATAGGACTGTTCCAGACCTTCACCCGTGTTGTGGTATTGCCAGTCCTGCCCAACCCCTTTGCTTGATGTCCTAGCCTCCTGCTTTGCTGAGACTGTAGAGTCCTGTATATTTGACTCCCCCAGTATCCTATTCCCCACCAACAAACTCTGTCCATCTCAGTCCTTTGTTCTTTCTTCTCATTTTAAATATTAAAGAATCTTTCCTTCTGTCCAAAGCTAATCCATCCATTTGTGTCCTTTAAAAATAATGTAATTTATAAAAGTAATATGTTGCTGTAGAAAACATGGAAAATCTGACAGTATAAAGAAATCACCCATAATTTCACTATAGATATATATATGGTTTGAGATCATACTGTATGTAAAATTTATGTACTTTTTCACCTTAAAACATATCATAAACATTTCCCTATGTCATAAAATTCTTCTAAAATTATGCTTTTTTCTGAGTTATTTTACAAAATATGGACAAATTTAGAAAAGTCCTAAGTAAAAAATAAACACTTGTAATACTATCCATTACTCAGTGGTAACCATGTTTAACATTTAAAATACTTTCTATCATTCCATTCTTTTCTATGCACAATAGAATTTTAATCAGCATCATACTATATGGATAGTTTTAGACTCTGCATTTTTGATTTACCATTATATTGTAAGCATTTTTATAACACTAAATATTCTTTGAAGATTATATTTGAAAAGAGTCTCTAATGTCAGTTTTACCTCCTAAATACTTTTTTGTGTGTCTGTGTGTGAGGAAGATCAACCCTGAGCTAACATCCGTTGCCAGTCCTCCTCTTTTTGTTGAGGAAGACTGGCCCTGGGCTAACATCAGTGCCCGTCTTTCTCTACTTTATATGGGACACCACCACAGCATGGCTTGACAAGTGGTGCATCAGTGTGCACCCGGGATCCGAACCCCAGGCTGCAGCAGCAGGGTGCGCGCACCTAACTGCTACGCCACCAGGCCAGCCCTGTACTTTATAAATTGATCTACTTCTCCCCATCAGCAAGGCCGCTGTCCTAGTTTAAGCTTCCATTTTACCTGAATTCCTTGTTTCTCTACCTTCTCTCTGCTCTTCTCCCCCATCTGTTTTCTACCATCTGCAGGAATTCTTAAACTTTTTTAATGACATATACCCTTTGGCAGTTTTGGTGAAACCTATGGGCTCCTGAGAATAACATTTTTAAATGTGTAACTACAAAGGAAACCAATATAGTTATCAAAATGTTATTTTAAAGAAACTTGTGATATTGTAATATGTGTGCTTCATTATTAATGCATTAAATAAGATCTAGCAGTGCTTCCAAAAACAATGATTTTTTTTTTTCTTTTTCTTTTTTTTTTTTGGTGAGGAAGATTGGCCTTGAGCTAACATCTGTTGCCAATCTTCCTCTTTTTTGCTTGAGGAAGATTCGCCCTGAGCTAACATCTGTGCTCATCTTCTATTTTTTTTTACATGGGACATACATGCACAGCATGGCTTGATGAGCGGTGTGTAGGTCTAGACCCGCAAACCCTGGGCTGCTGAAGCGGAGAGTGTGAGCTTAACCACTATGCCACCGGGCCAGCCTCAAAAAAACTTCATGATTTTAAAGGAATAACATTATTAGGGATAACACCATTATTTTGAGATTTTTGCAATAACTGTAATATGATGTAAACATATTTGAGATTTGTATTGGTGATAAAGTCAAAGGGCCTATATTCACAATGAAAGGAAATGCTAAATTTTATTTAGAGGTTAGTGAAAAATAAAGGTTTTTTTCCCCTCATCCAAGTTCACAGACTCCTGGATTCTATGCAGAGACCCTTTGGTATCTGTGGACTCAGAACCCCTGAGAATAGATACTTTGAAAATGTAAACTATTTTATCACTCCCTTGATCAGAAACCTTTACTGACTTCCATTTGCTTCTGGGACAAACTCCAAAATCTTTGCTGTTGTCTTAAAGACCAGGCGTGATGGCCTGCCGACTTTCCCAGCCTCGTTTCCCACCTTCTCCTTTGTGTTTACCCTCCAGCTGCACTGGTCTTCTTTTAGTTCGCTACCTTGTTCTCTATCCCAAGCCTCCATATCTGCTACTCCCCTTACCTTGACTGTCTCCCCTGACCATCCACACACCTGGTTAATGGGTGCTCATTCTTCAGCTTTTAGTTTAAATGTCACTTCCCCAGGGAAGCTCTCTCTAATCATCCCACTATCCCTAGGTAGGTCCCCGTTTAGATGCTGTCATAACACTCTGCTTTTCCTTCACAACACTTCCCAGTTTGTAATTACATATTGTGTAGTTCTTTGAATTTCTATTTCTATTCTATTTTGATTACTATACATGAGTCTTGGTGTAGAATAGGCCCTCAGTAAATATTTATTTCATCAGTGAATGAGTACTGACCAAGTTAAAGTTCGTCAATTCATTGTCTCCTCTTTTGTCTCTATGGGTCTATTCTTGCTATTTACTCCCCAGAAATATTTTTCCCACCTTGCCTGGCTAACTCCTCTTCCAATCTCCAGTTTAATTTGCTTCCTTCCCCATGCACCCTCGCTGAACTACCGTAACATCCTGGATGTGCTACATAACAAAGTCAAATCAATTTTCTTATCTCTCTCCTTTCTTAGATTGTGTTTTGCTTCCCCTTTTCCCTAATCTTTGTACTTCAAACAAAGCTATTTATTTTGTTGTATGTTTAATGTAGCTCCTCGGGGAAGAGATTGTTGTATAGTGCAAAGACTATTAAGCTTGGGCAAGAGGTTTTGTGTCTTGCTTCTGTCATTTGGTGTTTGCGTGGTTGTCTGCGTGTTACTTGGACTTTGTGAGCTTTTATTTCCTCATCTTAGATTGAGGATAATAGTATCCACATTACAAATTTGCTATGAGGATTCTATGAGATAAGGATCTAAAATACCTAACAGCAGGTCTTAGAACACACTAACTACTCAAGAAATACAGTTCCTTCCCCTTTCCTTGATAAGTAGATTTTCCTGTCATTTGTTTGCTGCTTTTTTCTCCCACATTCTTCTGTTCTGTTAGCATTTCTCCTTGCTTATGTTTTTCCTGCTCCGCTGAAACTGCACCTCCTTATCAGTGTTTCTAACTTGGCTAATGCATTCCCTCTCTCCTGCAGGGTTTTGATAGGTGATGGGCCTATATCTCTCTCATTTGGAGGGTTACATAGAAGTCCTTTCTACTCTTGGAGATTAAAGCCACATTCACTCACAAATGCACAAACACGCCCCAGGTCCCACTTACTCTCACATTATGTAAACTAAATAATTTTTAAAATCATGGAAAATTTAAAGAAACGTAAATAGAGCAGAGTAAAATGACCATCTGTGTCCTCATCACTAAACTTTTAACAGTTATCAAACTCAATCTTATTTTATCTGTACCCCTGCTTTCCTCTCCTGTCCTCTGGATTGTTTTAAAGCAAATTCCAGACATCATACCAACAAGGACATGCTTTTTAAAGGGCCTAAGAGTGTTTAGGGTATAATAGCCACTTGGTTAGTTTTATTTGGAGTTATCACCCCAAAATAAGTTGTATACTTCATATTGACGCAATAAACCTTTTGCCTTTTTTTGGGGGGGCAGTCTAGGTCTGAGTTCTGTGTTCTGATTCTTCTCTAATCCTCTTAAACCCCTTCCTATGAGTTCTGGCTCCTTTTTGCCCTGACCATCTCTGCTCTGAGGCAGTGTGTAAACCTCCACTCTAATTCTGTGAGTGTAACTTCTCTCTTCTATGTGCTTCAACCCATATACTTCTGTGACTTTTGGGCTAAATTCTGATGTAATAAGGTTTTCTGGATTTTAAAATTTATAACTTTTGTACAAAATCT